AACAATCACACTGGGTACCCGCCATGACTGCTTATCAGGGAAAAGAATGTGCTCACTCACATTGTGAAGCTTAGAATAGCTCACCAATAGCTGTCCAGAGAAGCTACCATTCACCTTTGTATCAGGAATTATTTTTCTGTACAGTCTCCGGACAAAATGGAGCTTATTAACATAGGAATGTCAGCAGCTGACCTTCTAAGTCTCCTTTGTTTATTACATTTCAATATCACAAGGGAAGCTACCTAGTGCATACTAAACAGACAGAAAAAGTTGTTGGGAATCTGAATAATGAATACAAATGGGAGAACAATGACAAAAGTAAATTAAGTGAGTTACTCAGCACAACAAGGAAGGGTCTGTTCCTTCAAACAACCTTTCAAGACAGTCCATCTGCCTTAGAAAGTTTTAGCTATTACATTTCACATTGGTCCCAACTCCAGGCAAAATGTTTGCATTTTAACATTTATTCAAGTAATCTTTAACACTTCAAATGGCTCTTTATTGGATTTACAATAGACAGGGGAACTGGAACTAGCGAGGAAATGAGAAAGTCACATCAACATGCACCTGGTCTTTCAAAAATTTCCAGTGGAGGGCTTCCACATTTTCCCTTCATTTTGTTCTCCCTGGTCTTCACTATTTTCTTTTATGTGTTCACATTCCAATCCAAGACAAACTTTGCAAGGACAGTAAAACTCCACAAATCTTAGCAGGAATGGTGCCGCCATTAACTTAGTTCTACGTACTCCTGAGTGACAGATGTGGAGGGGACTCACAAGGAATTAATGCTACTCCTTTTACAGACATTTCCATGTGGAAATCCACCCTCTCCAGTTCCCTGATCCCTAGGGAAAGTCGCTAATGGAGGGGTTGTTATGGGATCTCAGAGTTGTGCAGAAGGGAGTAGAATGATGTTGTGACAGCAGTACCCCATAAATCATGGCTAGAGGGAGTTCTGGCAGTCTAGAGGCCCTTCCATTCCCATAAGTGGAGGGGACAATCTGGGTCATGATAAATTTAATCAGGATTTTGATTAGCTATTTTTTTACCACAGATTTGAGCTATAATATTTACCTTGATTGATCGTTTCCTAGATATTAATTGATCATGGTTTGAGTGTTTTTTTTTTAAATATCATTTTATACTTGTCCATTTACATGTTAATAGGGCATTATCACAGGGTCAAAGCACACTTTCTGCCCCAGTTTCACTTTTTTTTGGTCAAACAGCCACCATAGAAACAGATGCTCCAAATTAAAAGCTCCTTTTCCAGAGTCTATTCATCTCAATTAGTATAAATAAAAAAAATATTCACCCAGCCTCTCCATGTAATTTATAGCCCTTTGCAAGGACTTCACAGTCACCCTTATCTTAAGGCAGTGTTTCTCAAACTGGGGTCGCTGCTTGTGTAGGGAAAGCCCCTGGCGGGCTGGGCCGGTTTGTTTACCTGCCCCGTCCACAGGTCCGGCCGATCGTGGCTCCCACTGGCCGCGGTTCGCCGCTGCAGGCCAACGGGGGCTGCTGGAAGCAGCGGCCAGTAAGTCCCTCGGCCCGTACCGCTTCCAGCACCTCCCATTGGCCTGGAGCAGCGAACTGCGGCCAGTGGGAGCCGCGATCGGCCGGACCTGCAGACGGGGCAAGTAAACAAACCGGCCTGGCCCACCAGGAGCTTTCCCTACACAAGCGGCGACCCCAGTTTGAGAAACACTGTCTTAAGACTTCTCACCACCTCTCCCTAGCCCGACCACATTAGTCTCACCTCCAGGTTCTGCCCCAGCTTACCACCATCCACTTGGCTCCCTGCAAGCTCGCTCCAGGCAACTATCCTTCTCTGTGGCTCACCAAACCCTTCACTGTTCCTATCCTCTTGAAGAGTAACCAGAGAGCCCTGCTCTGTATAGTACCCACATATTACATTCCCCCAGCCACATGATTCCTTATAAGTGTCTCTGCACTGATTGCAACCCGCTATGGTCCTCCCTAGAACAAAAGAATTAACTCTTTCTTGGAAGCCTATCACAGGCCTGAATAAACCCTGCTTTATTAATGCATTTTTTTTTAACTCAACATGTGTAAGTAAATTGAAGTGATCATGTCCAGGAGGGAGAACCGAAGATAATTTTGGGTAGAGCATGAGCAAGTTTCCTGAAAGTTCAACATTTGAAAGAATCTCTGCCAGTGCTGCTGAATCCTAATTTGCACAACACCTTCACCACACCTGCCTGTGGTTTCTCCCTAGCAGAAGTTTTCCATCATTTCATATTCAGTTAAACTATGTGATGGTTTTATGATTATCCCTAGCAGAAATTAGGATGAGACCAGCACATTCCTTTTCACTTTGAGAGATTGCCTAAACTGGTGTTTGAACCTGGGTCTCCAGAAATACAAGGCAAGTGTATGAAATGCATTACACAACTTCAGCCCCTTCTACAAGCACCATACAGTCTTTGTAACATTTTAATTTATATACTGCTCACAATTTACTCAGAAAAAAACATGGGGCACCATTTTGTTGGGCACTTTTAGTATTCAGCTATTCATTTTATCCATTGTCTTCACATGATTCATATAATGAAGGAGTCAGTCAGCAGAAAAAAATATTCCCAATAAAAATTTTGACATAATGATTCCAAGGCATTATTCACTATACCATTTACTCCAATTGTCAGGCTTCAGTTTACTTAGCTGTGAGATCAAAAGTACCTAGGGGCATATTCTCCTCTCACTGTGTGAACATAAGTCCTATTAGCGTTAATGAAAGTTCTACGCACACATCAAAAAGCATATAGCACCTTATGTTGGAAATCTAAGAGCAAAAAACATATGGGCTTTAATAAAAAAGAAAGACTATGAGGGAATATAAAATGTCAGTTTAAAAAAAAAACAGCCTAACTGGAATCAGTTAATATTTGTCAAATACACTGAAAAAATGAAAGGATATTCCATTATCCATCGAACATTAAAAGAAAAGAAGCTTGGAATAATAATAAAAAGAAACAGAAAATGTCCAGGGCCAGATTCTTATCCATCACTGATACTGAATAGTACCTGTGACACTGCACCCCATATTCTTCACAGTACTATTATCATGATATAATTATGGCATAATTATGATGCATGTTGTATGATGCGGGTCTTGTGAGGTATCATTGAAAAAGGTATGATTTGCTGAATTTGATTATCCTATTTATATGCATGTATCATTTTTGTTTCTGAAGTTATGAATATTGACTAGGGATTTGTATTTCAAATGGGCTTATACTGGAAAAAACCCACAGCCAGCCTTTCAGGTACAACAATGAAGAAGCCAGATGGGACTGATGGCCCATCAGCAATGACAATGGACTGTGGAATAGCTTAACCTTCCTGTGAGCATTTTGGCCAGCCTGTAGGCAATAGCTTCTATAACACTGCAAGGTTATGTGACCAGAGCACATGTCTCTGGACTCCATCTTGGGATGTAAGTATTTTTCCACAAACCGGTCTGGGAACCAAGTTAAGTTTTGAAACAAAGGGTTCCCGCCATATGCTAAAGCTTTATAAGGCAGGGACTGACATCATTGGTTGTTCTTCACCCCTCTTCACACAAGAGGACTCCTGGAAACACCTGAGGAACAAAGACTGAACTGGGAGAAGTGCTGGACCAAGGCTAAAGGGATTTCTAGCCTGTGTATGAAGGACCTGGGGATTCCAAGCTGTAAAACAAGTGCAGCTTGTCCCTTAAGAATCTGCAGCCTGCTTGTATCATCAGCCAGGGTGAGAATTTGCTAATTCATATCCTATCTTTCTAGTATCTTAGACTTAGTTTGTGTTTTTGTTTATTTACTAGGTAATCTGCTTTGATCTCTTTATTATAACTTATAATCATTTAAAATCCATCTTTTGTAGTTAATAAATAATAATAAATCGTAGCTCAAGGAGCAAAAGCTGTTGCATATTCCTTTCCACATGGGGACGGGGGGGGGGTGCACTCTATGTGCTTTTGCTGTACAGTTCCCTGTGCAGTGCAAGATGGTATAATTTTGTGTTTATGCTCCAGAGGGGGTACATGCCTGGGGAGAAGAGAGTTACCTTGGCTTTAGCCTTTCTACTGTTGGCTCATGCAATAGCTATTTAGAGAGCCTGGAGGTACTGCAGCTGGGTGTGTCCCTACTTGTGTGTATGCTGGTGGAAGTGTAAGACCGGGAGCGTGTCTGCAGCTTGTCACAGCAGCACAGTGAGAGAGCGAGCCCAGGCTGGTGTGTCATAGGGCTCAGTGGTACCCCAGTTCCAAATGACACCTTGGGGGGAACCCGTCACAGTACCTTTTCTCCGGGAGTGGTCCCAGTGAAGACAATGAGACCACTTGTGAAGGAAGCTGATACTTAACATGAGTCAGGGGATCAGAATCCTGCCCTACTCCTCCCAACAGAGCCAACCACAATCTGGACCTTAGTAGTTTTATTATTTTATCTTGATGAAAGCTCTCTCTGGTCATAGCTTGTTTACATAAAATTTCACCATTTCCCACCCCACCCAACCACCCACCCAACCACACCACAGAAAGCAATAAACAGCTGTAATGTTCCTCCCTCTCGGGGTCAGGACACCCACTTCCGGCAGCGATAGGAAGTCAGAACACCAGCCAGAAGTTCAACAGGTGGTTTCAGCTGCGACTGTGCAAGTCAGCCAAATAGCAACCCTCCAAGTCAGCGGTAGCCTCAGCCTCCTAGTCAGGTAGACAATAGTCTATGGCCCATGCCCCTTAGGTGTGGCTAAACACTTAAACAGTCTATGGCCCTCAGCCTCCACGCTGGAGCAAACAGCAACAATCTATAACTCTGGCCCTCTGGCCTAAAGGTTAGGACGCATCCCGCCCCATATACGGAGCCAGGTTCAGGCAGTAGGAGGATCTGGATCCACCCTCCTGCACCGGGTCCCAGCCAGGACCCTAGCAGTGGTGGGCAATCCTGCCAAGGGGTAAGTGGGGAAATGTGTGGTCACTGCCTCACATCCCAGTAGCACAACCAGACCAAAGTCTTGTTTCCCTGGGCTACTTTCTACCGGTTCCTGCTGGTGCTGCTCTGGCAATGCTGGCACCTGGCTCTCAGTCTCGTGGCCAGGCAGTCCTTCCTCTGTTCTATCATTTCCACAGGGAATTAGACTCAACCTATTCTTTACTTAATTAAACCTCATTGTAGATATCAGCTTTTTCTTTTTTTCTGTGGGGTCAGTAGCAGCAAAAATGTCCCTGAAATTTTCTCACCAGGACAGCATCCAAATGGTTTCTTAGTCAGGAAACATTGTTCTCCTTCTCTTCAAACATCCCAGACCCCTGGGAGGGTGTCTCTGTCCTGGAAAAATAAACAGAGTACGAGTCCTTCCTCAAACAAGGATCAACCACATGATTCTATTTTTTAATTATTATTATTTTGGAGGGACATGGGTTGACAGAAGTGAGGCCCTTCATTCAGTCTGCATTTTAAACCACATTTCCCTTCGGTTTGTCATCTCATTCCATTTACACCCCATGGAAATATGCACAGGAAAAAATCTAAATTATGCAAAATTAAATCCTTTTAAAAAACAAATTAACTGAAATATAACACTATTTGAAGCTTCTTTAGAAATATATGCAGGAATTTTGTATTTATATAGCATATTTTATCACAGAATCTACTGTAGTGCTTTATCATTTCTTGAACAACAACAAAAAGGTGACTCAGAGCATGTGATTTTTAAAATTAAATAAAGCTGTATATAATGCTTGCTAAATTGAGATTAGTTTTTATAATTTTCATCAAAATGACCTTTTTCTGCAGTTAAGTAGATGCTCACATCTTTTCAAAGTGCAAAACAAAAAACAATTAAACAAAAGAATGCTCTGCATCCTTGTGGTATCTCAAATATTGTGCAACGTAACAGAATTATTGGGCAGTTATATTGGGTTCGTCTCGCATACTGCTTATCAATATACTAGCACAGCAAGTAAATAAAGTAAAATAGAACTAAACCTTGGGATTTTTTGTTAACATAAAGTCTTTTTAAATTCCAAGATTGAAATAAAGGAACACCAGCTCTTTCAGTTTGTCTTCTGAAAGAGAACGCCTCTGAATGGTGAGGACAAGATTATACAGAGAGCTGCTGAGTTCAGCATCAGCTGTGTTTGTTACAGCATTTATGTATCTGAAAGCTAATATATTTAAGTTCAGAAGACAGTTGGCTGTTGATGACCAAAACATGGCAATGTCAATTTCTCCTGACTGTAGAGTGCTCTGGATCACATCGGGTGCCACCTTCCCAGTATACAAAGCAAACTCCTCTGCTGAAATGTCACTGAAGCCAGGAATTGAAGTATAATCTGCCTTGACATGAGACATTCCTTATGCATTTCAGGAACTTAATTGCGGGCTGCCCACCCTCAGTATCACTGATGTACTTCTTCAGCTTTTCAGCTGAATTGTCAACAGCTGAACGAAACAAGTGCACCAACTTGCTACTTTCATCAGTTGTTACATTGTTGACATCTTCAACCCTGAGAAACCTTTGAGTGGATTCCTCTGAAAACTGAATATGTGTCTCAAGGAAAAACAGCAGTTCTTCCATTTTCTCAAAAGCAAAGAGAGTGCATTTGTAACACCAACAGACCCCAGTCATCAGGATCGAACCTGGGACCTTTGGAGCTAAATGCATGAGCCTCTACTGCATGAGCTAAAACCAATATGGCCCTTAGCTAAGGCTGTAGAGCAGACTCATTTAACTCTCTCTCTAAGTTGTCTCGGTGCCACTAGATGGGACAGAACACCACACCCAGCAGGTGTGCGGGTTCATTGTCTCTGGGTTTCAGATGTAACAATTAGGTCAATGACTGGCCTGCATATTTCATGGACAAAATGCAGTTTAATCTTCTGCATTAAACATTGGGTTTCATCTGACGCACTTTCAAGTTCCCACCACGATGTGGTGCCGAGTTGCCATGCACACCCATTTCTTCTTCAACAAAGCCGTGATAATATTGAAAGCGCATTTCATGGTACAGAACAGCAATAAACCAGCAGTTACATCTAGTTGCTAATGAGTCTGGTGCCATTGTAGCACTGGCAACTTTTTTGCCAGCTGTAATTTAAGTACCTCATCTTCCTGCTCCCTGCCATATAGAACATATGTGAGAAAGCTTTTACCAGTGCATTGACATCCTTGAACGACTTATGAAAACTTTCCTCCAGCAGACTGATTATGTAAGCAAGGCATGTTACATGGATGCTATCGGGAAACAGTCCAGACAGTTCAGTTTTGTAAGCTTTATGCATGTATGCAGCATTATCCATGTAAAAGACAACTACATTGTTGTAAGCAATTTTGTAACTTTGCACAATCTGAATGACTGCTTGAGACATAGTGCTGTGATTTGTTTTCTGCATGAAGTGTGTGTCTTCAAGATAGGAGGACATCTTTCCAGTACCATTTTTTGCCAGCGATATGAGTAAAATGTTAAGTACATAGCACCCCTCATCATCAGTCATTTCATTGAATATAACTGACATATAGTTATGCTTCACTTTGTCCTTAAGTTTGTTTCTCTCAGTGTTGTAGACATCTGTAAAATATGCATCTTGAAGCTGGTAACCTCGTGGAATTGCACCACCATTCTTCACTCGAGTGTTTAGAAACTGGTGTATGAAAGGATGGTCCATTTTAGATAATGGTATGTTTGCCATGGCACAAGTTAAGACCCAGTGAGGGACAACATCCAACTGCTCATGTTATGTTATTGTGGTTGTGTTGAAACATGTTGAATGTGAACACTACATTTTTTTGTGATTCTCCCTGCAATGTGGCGTTTCTCATTAAATGTTTCTGTGATTTGGTGAGGTGATTTGAAATTGTTGATTTCCTTTGATGGTCCAGAAAAACTTTGCACATTTTACAAAAGTGTTTTCTGCCATCTTCGAATACCTGTCCAGGAATACCTTTTACTCTCAATTAGTCAGCTGCAATATGGTAATTAAGGATTGTTTGGAAAAGCAAAGCTTACATGAGAGTCCATGCTGCTCCTCTACTCCAAAGCCTCCAGGATTTTGTCTCCATCAATCACTTGAACAGGGTAGCAGCAATCTCATATCACAGTCTGCTCATACCTCACATCTTTGTGTTCACGTTGCAGTCAGGCTGTGTTCCCCCTACATAGAATCATAGAATTTAATGGCAGAAGGGATGACTGTGATCATCATCTCATCTTCTGTATAATACAGGTCATAGAACTTTGCCAAAATAACTCCTAGAGCTTATCCTATAGAAAAACATGCAATCTTGATCCAAAAATCACCAGTGATGAAGAATGCATTGCAACCCTTGGTAAATTGTTCCAATAATTAATTACCCTCCGTGTTAAAAATATACATGTTATTTCCAGTCTGAATTTGTCTAGTTTCACCTTCCAACCACTGGCTCATTGTTATACCTTTGTCTGCTAGATTGTCAAGCTTTCCCTTGGCAGCCACTTGTAAAAAGATAATATCTGATCATTGGTCTTCCATTGTATCTTCAAGGCGATTGTAGTCTTACATAGACAATTCTTGACCTGCTCGTCTGACTAATATTCAATCCCTTACTCCCTTGTCCCAGAGGAGAAATCAACTCCTTCACTTTCAGTGGTTGACAACACAAAGTGAGTGGGGAAACCAAGTCATGAATATCTTTCCATTAAAAATATTACACAAATTTCCACATTCTCCACATCTGCTCTAATTTGATTTATGTTTCCTGAAAATGAACATTTCCTCCAAAAGAAGGAAAAAGCTAAACTCCCAGTGAGACTCACAGTTACTTGACGTAGGCTTACTGAAAACAGAACCTAACAAACAGAGATTAATAGACATTCTTGAAAACTAATGTGCACCCCTCCCGCCCCCGCCCAAAGAACAGAGGAGGAGCATAACCATTATAGAATCAAGTATCTTATACAAATACTCCTTCTTGATTCTCAGATCCATCTAAGCTGTGTGTGACACAGGACCAGGGGATGGGGAAAACGGGACTATACACCACTGATTCAAGGGCCAGCTGAGTGCTGGTTTGGTTTCTGGGTTGTTCTCACCTGTGTTTGGGTGCCAATTGACCAGTGGGGCTCTTCCAGCAACTCAAAATAAGCAGCTCACCCCCCTTACTCTAGCCATTTCCTCTGTGCTGGGGCCTACATGGGTGGTGGTGCAGAACCATTTACTAGGTATATTATTATTAATTATCATTTGTATTGTGATAGCACCTCGGACCCAGTCATGGACCAGACCAAAAAGATGGTTCCTGCCCCCAAAGATTTTACAACCTAAGTATAAGAAAACAGATAGCGACAGATAGAGACAGACAGAAAAGCACAAGGAAACAATGAGGCACATTGATTTATGCCACCTGGAGATTCCCGCTCTACAGGGGCTGAGAATCAGGCTCCCATATCACAAAAATTACAGTCTGTCTCCCAAAGAGCTTGAATTTGCTCCCATGCTCTCAATCCACAGCAGAGCTCACACTGATTTCAAAAAAACAAGATGCTATTTTTCTCTCACGGTCAAGGTGGTGTGGCTTATATAGTGCCTCTGGAAAGTGATTTTTGTCAAATTTACAGTACTCAAACATTGCAAAAACTCACCCATGCAAAAAATCACCCCAGGTACACCTGAGTTTGGAATGTTTATCCAAAGGATATAAATGTAACAACAACACTTAAAGTTCATCATATCTTTGTCTATTTATTTACAGTTTAGCAGACTACAACTGAACAGCTAGCACTTCAGCCTCTCAAGGAATATACCAAAAGCAGTAATTCTATCGGCACAGCTAAATGGTCTCCAAATAGCATTAGCATCCTCTTGCAGCTGAGCCCAAATGAGGAAGTAAAAAAAACCCCAACAACTCTCAATCACCTTTTATACTAATCTGGAAGCATCTGAGTCCAGTAATTATAATGTCCACTTTTGACTCCTATAATAAAACAATATCTAACTCTACAGACTCGAAGGGTGCAGATGTGTATATTTTTCTAGCATGCAGATGACTATCACAGCAATATTACCAGGCAACAAAAAATATCTATGGTACACTGTAAAAAGTAGAAGGAAATCCAGAGAAGTTTGGGTGCTGAGGTTCTGCTGCTCACCTCCAAGCCTGGAAGAGTTTAAGCTGAACCCAAACCTCTCCTTCTGCCAGTGCACCAGGAGTGGGATTCATGCTGTTTGTGCATACACTGTGGAGGAAGTCAGATGTGATTACATTATTTGCAGGGATGCACAGTGGTGTAATCACATTACAAACCCCATGTTTGGCAATATGTTTATGTAATGCTCTGTCTGTTTCTAACTTATTATTTATATAGCACCATTAGGAAGCTAGATGTATTGCAGACATTTAAGAAGAGGTATGACGTGATTATCCTCTCATTTATACCAGCAAGTCTATGGAAGTCTTTGGTGTTACACTGGTTTAAAGCTGATGTAAGACAAATCAGAATCAGGCCCAAGGCCCTTGGTCCGTTTAGCATGTCAGACTCCAATATGAAGTGTCAAGCTGATTCTGATTCCATCCCATCAGCATCCTTTTATACAGCCTTAGAAATGAGTCATTTAAATCTTTTAAACAGCAGTAACAAAAGGATTCATACCATTGCTTTGCTATCTTCTGCTCTGCCAAGATCCAAATCTCTCCCTTGAAGCTGTACTGATGTCATTGGCATAACGCCAAGCCATGTTTGTTGTGTCATTTTTAAATTTAGGGACAATATTTAAAAGTTGTGAAACATTTATAGGACTTACACGCAATACTTAGTACAGCAGTTTGGATGTAGCCACATCTGTTCAGAACTTTAGATGCTCAAGCACATTTTGGAAACTGAAAAGCAGCCATTGTGAAAGCATTTCGGAGCCTGTTGTAGATTAATAATATACCACTTTTCTACAGCTGTTCACTTAACCCAATGATTTGCAGGAACAGGAAATGCTTGCCTTGCATAAACTTTTACACAATAGATTCACCATAGGCTAATAAATTTATAAATATATGTATATATAAAATAAATAAAATATATAATAAATATTTTATATATTATATATAGTCATCAGACTATTCAATACTATAATGACTTTTGCTCTAAACACATGATGCATTTCTTCTATATTTTTATTTGGTGAGTGAATAGAACACTCGTGCAAACAAGGGACTCAGAGGACTGGCTTGTACCAAACATAATATAGGCAGATGCTGTTCACACCTCCCCACTTAGATTTGCTGGGGTAACTCATTTCTAACCTACATCATCCCTGCTATTTCCTGCCACTTTTGCCAAACTGACCCAAATCACAAGATGGTTTTAGTGATGGAAACTAAAACAAAAATAGCAAAATCTATTTTCACTGGCACTAGCACTCAAAGGAAATAGGAGCTGAACTGCAGCGCTCTGCCTGAAGAAAGAAACATGTTCCTTATTTTTTTTTTGTTGACTTCAACAAAAATAAAGCAGGGAGCTGAGAGAAAGAGAACACAGATAATCTGAGGATCTGATTTGGATCTGTGCTGCAGTATTTAGAGTTTCTCATTTTTTCTTTCTACTTGGAGTATCACTTTTCATCCAAGAAAGAGACTAACCTTCTTATAGCTTATCACACAGTATCAGTCCCAACCCAGAACTTCAGCATAAAGTGAAGAGATGGAAACTCCACTTGTTCATCTCATGACCCTTTCAAGGTCAGGGGGAAAACCAAACAGGATTTGGGGTTTGGATGGGATGGGATTTGCTTTTAAAGAGTAGTCCACCAAGCCCAGATCAACAGATCCCAGCACTCCAGCCTCCCCAAACCTAGCCATCTCCTCTTCTACCTCTACAAAACCCAGGGACCGTTTTTCTGTCTCCTCAAACTCAGCAATCATCCTCCTGTCCTTCAACCCAGCAACCCCTCTCTCCCAGAGGTTAAAATAAAGGGAGTGCAGTTATCTCTCCTCTGCTCACATACATAGAGTGAGCTCCCCTTCATTTCCCTGGCTCAGGTAAGCAGTGCTTTCAAACAGCTTTCCCTCCTCCTTGACTGGTGCAGTAAGAGCTCCCTCTCCTGTTTCAATCTTCTTTAACCAGTGCTGACACTTCCAAACCTAGCAACCCCCTTGTTGCCTCCACAAGCCTCCACAACCCCCACCGAAATCTCTAGACTCTGGCCCCTTCCCAGAATTGTTCCAGGAAAGTGTTTTAAATGTTGGCAACACTACAAAACTGATGCTTTCTACCTGAGATTCTAATGCATGTGGACAACATTTAGGCTTAGAAATCTTGTTTTGTGGATTCCTTTTAAGTTCGCTAATGTTTTCATTTTTATTGTGTTTCAACCCCTTAATGCAAAGGTAATGCAAAGATTGAAGGAAACCTAGTTTTGAGTGCATCATTCATTTGGAATGTTCCATGCGTTGTACTCTTTATAAAGTGGTCTTTTTATTAATGATTATTATTTATTTCTATAAAAAGTAAATTTATCATGCTTCTTTCTGAAGAAGAACCCAGTACTTTTAAATGGAAAAGACAGAAGTGAATAAAAGCTTCCTTTTATTCTGCATTACTTGAATGCATGATATGTGAGTCAAAAAACAAATCTCTCAGAGTCTTGCTAGCTTTTGGACTGGAAGTGCTGAACTACAGAGCGTTAAGCATCTGAAGTATCAGGTAGTGACCACTGTTAAATACAGGATATTAGAAAAGATGGATCACTGGTTGGAATGAAAAGGAGTACTTGTGGTACCTTAGAGACTAACAAATTTATTTGAGCATAAGTACTCAAGTGCCACAAATACTCCTGTTCTTTTTGTGGATACAGACTAACAAGGCTGCTACTCTGAAACCTGTCATTATGGTTGGGATGAGTAATTCCTATACTCCAGGAAGTTCTGGGATCCCATGTTTTATGCTAATTTAGTCTCTGAGAGCAAAAATATCCAATACATAAAGGTCCTGCCAGGACTGGAAAACCATTCCATGTCACTCACTGTTTAAAGACACAAAGTATCCCTAATAGCATCAAGCCAGTCAGAACAGCATGAATTGTGAAATGTCACTCCCCCAGGAAGGTTAAGTGATGCCTCCATGCAGAAACAAAGAAACTGAGAGGATAAAACCACAAGTAAGAAAATATGTCCCTGTGTATGTCTGCAGCCCCCCTGACAGACAGGCCTGCTTTGTCCTGTTCTAGGCAGTAACTCATGTACCCTTTTTCGTTAAGGAAAAGTCCAGGCTCACCTAGCCAGAGAGAGGACATCAGTCAACTATGTAAGCTAATGAAACCCATACCAAAGGGAGCTTGTCAGAGTGAGATTTAAGTTTGCATAAACATTGTCCAACGTTCATCTCAATTGAAACTGATTTTAATGAATGATATGGAATATTAATTCTATAACTAAAAAGCTTCCTTTCTGTTCTGAGATAGTCCAAGCACCTTCCAAACAGGTCTGGTTTTCAGACTGACTTGGATGGATGAAACTTATCTGACCTATAGCTAAGAATAAGTAACAGTTATCTTGCAAGCCTAAGATGTCTTCAGCCTCGTAAGGAAGGAATATTGTCTGAGCTACAGTTAATTGAAATGGGGAATAATAATTAATGATTTCTTCTATTTTTGCCCAGTATAATGAACCTCACAGTCTTTGAGAAGAAACCATCGACTCACTTAGGTGAGGCAGAGAACAATAGTATTAAGCACTGAAAGAGTTTTGCCTACAATCACTGTTTAAAGCACTGACAGTACATGGTGCTGTGTGTCTTCATCTCTGATTGACCTCAGTATGAGATGAGGGTGGCAAAGAACTTGCAAGATCAGGTGCTAAAATAATCTGATGCACATTAGACATGCTAGGGATGTAAAGTACCAATAGCTCTTGTGATACTTTCATAGTAAGTAATTAAATCAAAAGTATTGTTCCTACAGCCAAGCTCCATAAGACAGCATTCAGAGCACGGATAGCGCTTAGATTTACTAAGGCTTCTGTACACTAAAAAGTTAGGTTGACATAACTACCTTGGTCAGGGGTGTGAAAAAACATTGCTATGCTGACCTAATCCCCAATGCAGGCAGAGCTATGTCAACAGAATAATTCTCCCATCAATGTAGCTATTGTTGTTCAGAGGAAATGATGTTCCTACACGAATTGGAAAAAACCCTTCCCGTGTTGTAGGCTACATCTACAGTAAGGGGTTATGCTGTCATAGCTGCAGCAATATAGCTATGCTGGTATAGTTCCCCATAGTGCAGACATATCCTAACATGGGAGTCAGTCCTTGCAGGTGATGAACACCCTCAACTGTTAATGAAGTCAATGGAATTGACTCTGATCTACCTTTCACAGATTAGCCGATGTATCCATTATAAGCAGATACGTGCCTCTTTATTGATTCCTTGGGCCGTACAGTGAGTCTTCTTGTTTCAGAAGGGAGCCCATAAGAGTGAGAAAGGTTCTATAGATATCAGGGTGTATTATTCTGTTTAAAGGGCATACCACTCGGGGTACAGGTGTAATATTGTAACTGAAACTGTGAAACTAGCTCCTGCTGTGCATTTAGAGTGAAATTAACCCCATGCAGGGGACCAGAACAGGCATCTGCACCACTCAGATCCCACTTTACCCATCATATAGACTTTGGCTGACCCTCTGCAGGGGGATGAATTTCAGATTGATTCTTTTTTATTGTTTTGCTTTATTTTCATGAATTGTTAGTTCAATTTTAGTGATGTTTTTCCTTAGACATGTTTGTAGAATAAAATTAGTCATAAAATTATGTTATGCTTTTGTTTCTTTAGACAGTCAGTGACAAGTTACTAGTAAGACACGTAAGTAATGAAAAGAGTTTTTGTAATGATGGCATTGTGAGCATACTGGCATTACGTAGGGTAAAGCCTGCAAATATTTCACTATTTACCTTGATGTTTTACTCTAATTTTTATTTTGGAACTGTAATCTAGTAGACAGAGCCCAACAGTGAGAATGAGGAGTCCTGGGTTCTAGTCTTTGCTCTGCCATGTTCCTGCTGGGTCACCTTGGGCAAGTCACATCACTTATCTGTGCCTCAGTTTCCCCTCCTGCTCTTTTTCTGTCTTATTATTTAAATAGCAATGCGACCAGGACAAGGACTGTCTCTCATTTTGTGTTTGTAAAGTGATTAGCACAATAAAGCCCTAATCTCAGTTGGGGCATCTAGGTTCTACTGTAATAAATATT